GTTAATTTGAAGCTGTTTACTGGTAACCTGACTCCGCCAGATAGATTTGGTCTGCAATATCCATCTGGAAGGATATTTTGGGAAGGGTCGAAAATACTGGTTAGCTGATTGGCCTATGTTGGTGATAGACGGGCCAAATAAACCAATCAGATCAACGCAGCATATGACCTACTAACAGAGCGACGACGAAGAGGAGCCAATTGATAGATCAAACTCTTGCCGAAACCAGTCGGGAGAAGAGCAAAAACATCTTTTCCTCTGAGAAAATCCTCCAGAGCAGTGTTTTGCTCTTCTTTCAGTGAAGAAATACTCCGATAAAACTTGCTCAATAGACATGCTGACGCTAGTTTCATCGGCTGAAGCCGCCATGTTCTTTAGACTGAACTGTCGCGCTTCTTGTTGCGTCACACCTAAACCCACCTCAAAGCCAACGCTGATTGGACGTTCGTTTGGTGAACGGCTCCAAATGTTCTTTAACGGAGAGTCTCCAGACTGATCTGCGAGTGAAACCTTGAAAGCTTGCGAGATCAGGATGGTCTCACGAGGCTAGTTTACTGGTAATTTCATAAATCCTTTCACATAGGTATAACCTGGCGAGCCAGATTATAAAGTGCTTAACACTCCTGTTTAAAATTAAAATTTCAAATCGCACAGGAACTCAATTTTGGTCACATTAACAAGAGAAAGACCTTACATTTCTCACAGCAGCCCTTTAGGTAATAAACTTAAGGGGTATTTGCCTGCACATAGAAACATAGAGTTGCAGCAAGCATTCAGATCCATGCATGCAAATACAGTCCTGCAACAATGGACTCTAAACAAGCAAGCTTTAAACTTCCTAAAACAGAAATCCTAAAATAAATAGAAGAGAATAGAATTCAACTTTATTGTCAATGCACTGTCACGAGTACAAAGCAACGAAATGTGGTTTGCATCTATCCAGAAGTGCTATACGGGATATACATTTTATTACAGGTGTATATACAAGCAAAAAGTAGTAGTTAGGGACTGTAAAAAATTGTGTATAAACATAAATATGAATATGGGAGCTACATGCACAGATTATACAGATTGTACAGAATATAAAGGAATGTTAGGAAAAGGATTATATATGAATTAGTGGGTTCAGGAGCGTGACAGTTGTGGGAGCAGCTTGTGGTTAGTGCAAAAATAATTAACACTTTTATTTTTGGTGAAATTGTTTAGCCTTACTATTTAGCATTACTCTTAATTAATCTGGAACGATAGAATTCATTCAGCAGAACCTTTTTAACCTTAATGGACAAAGTCACACCTAAAGCCCGCCTATCATCATGGTTAGAAATTTAAGAGCAGTAGAAGTCATGAGAAACCATAACTTATGCTTGAATGCTCTTGTTGTTTCAATGATGCAATGTAAAAAAAATTCTGACAAAACTAATGTGATAGAAGCAGGTTTCCATACATCCTCCTGTGCTGCCATGTTTCTTTTGGTTTAACGGTGGGCTGGGCAGCTCATGCTTTAGTCACAGATGCATGCCCCGCCTAAAACTGCCACATGATTGGCCAACCTGTTCTGTGCAAGCAGTACAAGATGGATTCTCGAGTGTTTGCATAAATACCATGAGAACTCAGCTTGCAGTAAAGACTCATAAAGATATATTCTTTGTCTAAAGCAACTAGGGCGGCAACCAATGAATATTTTGCAAATAGATTAATCAGTTGGTTATTTTTTCGATTTATAATCGGATAGCAACAGGTTCCTAAAAGAAGACTTTATATGAAATTAAACCAGGTGAAACTAGAACTTTTCTGCTTAAAGAGTTCAGATGAGATTAATGTTTTTTTTCTTAAATGCAAAATGTTTACTTTTTTTTACAATTTTGTTATAATTTCTGTGTAAGCTGGGTTTCTCTGTCAACTAAAAACATAGATTACAGTCTATATACTCCAGTTAAAAATTAATTGATTACTAAATTAGTGGACGATTATTTCAATAATAGAATAATTACAATTAATCTGATTAATGGATTCAGCTCTAGTAGCAGCCAGATCTACAGCAAAGCAACCAAGACATGGGTGAGAAAAACAAAGAAGCTACAAAGAATCTTCAGAGTGGCAAGAAGAAAGTCTTTGTTAAAAAGAAAGTCACAAGAGCTCCAGTTGGTAGTTTGCCACAAGTCATATGGGGTCACACTACAAACATGTGATAGAAGGTTCCCTGGTGAGATACCATGTGCTTCATGTGCAAGAACCCAGTCTTAGCACAAAACCCTGGATACACCATCAAAACGTATATTCAAACAATGATCTTATGTGCGATCCCGTTTTATCAAAAACCAACATTTACTGAGCTTTGATCATTTTCTACTTTTTTTTTTTTATTTAGTGACGGCGATATCCAAGTATATTATCCAGGGCTGCCAACTTTTCACCAAACCTCAGGGTGGGATTTTGAAATAGTTTGGACAGGAAACCCTGTCAGGGTGAGATTAGGACAGGTATCGGCTGGAGGTTTTCAGAGGATTTAACTAAAACAAAGTGGCAAAATGTGGAATTTTTATAAAACAGTAAGAATAAGTGATCTCTAGTTATGTGAATTTTTTTTTTACAATATACATTATTTTCTACATTCTGGTGATTTTTAGAAAATTAAACTAAAGATCTAAGAATTAAACTAAGAATTTCACAACTTTGTTCATTAATTATTCTCTGCAGTTCAAGTAAATTAAACAATGGGGAACTAATAAGTTATCACTGGATTCAGGAACCAGTGCAATCGAAACCTATGCAAACTACAGACTGTATGAATATTTGGCAATATGCTAAGGATCAAAAAGCTTCATTCAATACGTTATTAACTTTTCTTACAATTGACAAAACGGCTAAACAATTCAGACCTTCTAGGAGGCTGTAGGTTTTATAAAAACTCACCATGACAGGAGACAGCACTTCTCTGGAGGTTTCAGTTTGGAAGGTGTGATGGAAATTAAGTTTTTAAACATATTCAATGGACAAAAATAAAGATACATGAATTTGATAATAAAAGCTGAACATCCCTGTGGTTTCTCCTCTATGAATCCAGGATCACCGAGTTGTTCTGCACATCCTCTCTGAATGTGGTTGATCTTTTCTTGGGTGGCTGATCTTTTAAAAAATAAAATGCAATGGTTATTTTTCTTATTTTGGAGTGTTTGAGAGGTAAACTTGGAAGCTTTAAGAATTAAAATATTTGTGTTGTTTTAATTACCCCTAAATCCCAATGGGAGATAATTAAACTAGACTGAGTTGAGTTTTAATGTCATTTTCTAGTGTGAGAAATTGGGAATATGGAGTGAGAGTGTGTGAAGACACTGAGATGGGTGAGTCTCACTCCCAATGGGTGACAGTTGACCACCCTGCATTATAAGTTTTGTTCCTGATGGATTCATCATTAACATATAGGCCAATGTGAGAGCAAGAGCTTTGGGAGCTGCAGAATCGAAAGGTGCATAATGACCCTGGGTCAATCATCGCTCTAAGTGAAAGGATCACAGTTATGGAAAGCTTTACCAAACGATCAATGCCAGACATGAGGCTTAGTGGAATTAGTTAGGGAGTAAAAATGCTAATTAAAGGGCTGAATCCATTAAATTTCTACTGAATTTCATGTTATTCTACATTTCAGTAAGAAAACCACACCACTGATTTTTTTTTTTTTTTTTTTTTTTTTTTAGGTATAATTGACTATTCAGCTGAATTGTCTGCTATTCCTCAATCCAGAGAAAAAGCAGAAGAAACAAAAGGAAAATCACTGACTCACTGATAACAGAGGTGATGACGCAAAAGAAACGTAACCTCACCCAGAGGTAACCCTGATGGGAGCCGAATAGGCTCTATGCACAGCTCCACTACTTCCTGAATTTAATGCAGCTCCTTTGTTTCCTGTCTTTCATGATTGGATGCACTGATTAATCCAGGTGTGTATGACCTAAGTAACTGGCCAGACACACCTGGATTAATCAGTTCGTCCAGTAATGAAAGACAGGAAACAAAGGAGCTGCATTAAATTCAGGAAGTAGTGGAGCTGTGCATAGAGCCCATAACACCCACTGTCCACGCTGACCATTTTCACACTTTAATAAATCACCAAATCGGGTTATTCTGCAATTTTTAATTCAAAACCTTTTGGATTAAATGGGGGGACAATCACCAATTTAATAAATGGATACAAATGTTTAAACAGCCAACACAACAATAACTCTCATAACATCCAATGTACGCCGATGAAAGGAGGAAAGTCTATGCTTTAAGCTTTCACTTTCATCGAGATGCATTTCTATGATTTTATGCATGAAAATTATAAAATTTCGCTTCTTCTAATGAAGTCTGGTAGACATGGATGCTGTCCTGTTGGGAAGCTTCTGTAGCTCAGGATGCTGAGGTTTTTCTTCCAACAGGACAGACAGTAAGGAACACATCAGGTTCCACGCTGCAACACGGGACACGCACGTTTTCCACTCATTAATAACCCAGTCAAGGACATGACATCGATACTATAGCCTCAAGTTACCCACGCTGAACCAATTTACAGCCGGAACAAAGAGGCGTTCAGGTACATAATAAAAGACGGATATTTCTACTACTTACGTCTGTATGTAAAACGTATATATAGAATTCTTATATAGGCCTATAAGAAATATTGACACGTAATTACTTTAATTGAAAACCGTATATCAAGTGAGATATACGTTTAATTTCATAAAATAGAATTAAAATCACAGTATTTTATTTTGAAAATACTAATCGGAAGTTTAGTGATTCTCCTTATTGTATTTTAATCCTACCTGGATAATAATATAAAAAAAATGGCTTGACCTTTTTGTGCTGCAAATACAGATATATTGGAGTGTTAAAATATGTAATGAATAATAGGCTAATAAATATAACATCAGGCTGAGGCATGCATGAAAGCAATGCTGTGCAACAATAACAGATAATAATTTCCCCATGAATTCCTCTTATTTCTGAACCCTGCTTACCTTTAGCCTCACAGTCTGCACAGTACTTGTTGTTCTCCTCTTTCAGCAGTTTGGTGAGAATAGCCTGATGCTGCTCGTTCAGTTTCTGGGCTTTTTCTCTCTCTGACCGGGTCGTCATCTTGTTTTCTGTGTGGGGTGCTGTTAGGACGTGGGTCCTGTTGAATGAAGAGCCAGGGTATGGCAAGCCAAGAAGGTCATATTTCGCATTGAATTGTCGCGTTAAGCTTGAAGTTAACCCGCAAAAAACGCGCGTTCTCCCGAGATTACGCCGCTTTTTACGCCGTCTTTTACCAACAAGCGCCGCCTTTTACGCGCGTCATGATAGTACCGCAAGACGCGCGTTAAATACGCGCGTTGTGTCGGTCAGAACGCGCGTTAAATACGCGCGTTGTGTCGGTCAGAACGCGCGTATTTAACGCGCGTTTTCCTAATATGATAATGATGTCCTCCCTTCTTTTCCCACAGCCAATGCATTTGAACTGGTTGCATCCAATCTCTGATCAAGGCAGCCAGACCAAGAAAGTTCAGCACAGATCTGCTTTGTGGAAAACTGCACAGACCTCAATGTTGCAGCATTGCCAGAATTCACTGCATTGCCGTTTCACAAAGCCTTAATTTTAGGAATATATCCACTACTTACACTTTGCTGTTATTTTGAATCCATTCCATGCCTATTTTCACGTAAAAACGTTTTGCATCAACATGCATCGCCAACTAATGTTTTGTATTCACAGGTATTACTAGGAATGTTTCACCACTTAATACTACCGAGAGGGGGTGTGGTGTCTTAAGTGACCGCCTTCAATGCGATCCTTTTGCTTCGTGGCGGGTTCGAATCCGGCAGAGGCCGTCCGACTTTTCCCTTTATATTCTGTCTTGTCTCCAACCAAGCCCATTTATTTATTTATTTTTTTCTGAGAATATAATCATAAATGTAGCCTACTTCACTGTTTTTGATCCATCACCATGCATTCTGTCATGTAAAAACTTTTTATATTGTACTAATAAAATGACAATAAAGGGGACACTTGTCTTCCAGAAAATTTGTCGGTCTGACTTGTTTTCTGTATATTTTCCTGCATATCACCAACCTTTTTCCATAATGCTTTATACAGCCATGGAGCAACTGCTGTTAAAATTAAATTAACAGGAACATTTCTTATTAAAAGTGTTATTAGTGCAATGAGAAAAAACTTGCTTAGTTGAGCCAGTGGAGGTTTGATGATCCCCATAGCTCATGTTCTCTGTCTCCTACATATACATATATATATATATATATATATATATATATATATATATATATATATATATATATATATATATATATATATATATATATATATTAACCACGTCACATAAATGTTCTTTCAGTCTGCAGATGGCGCCATATAACGGGTAGGCTACTGGCAGAGCAGCAAACAGGTGTTTGCACCAAAGCTGGGGAACAATATAGGCAAGGTGTGTCTCTTTTTCAAGAGAGAACTGGATACTGGATTCTTCTATCTTTTTTATTTATTATGAACTATTATTTATCTATTTCCCACTACCTTTGACCACTAGTCAATACCTTTACTTATGTGTACTAGAACAAGATCCAAATGTGCAAGAGTCTAATTACATTTTCATTGTGGAGTAGGAGACAAGGTATGGGTGCAGCACCTTCCATTGGGGGTGTATCCAGAAAACAGGTACTACGTTACTTAGATGTTACATTTAATTTTAACTGCAGTTGTTCCGTGGCTGCAGAAAGCATTATGAGCTTGGGAAAAGGTTAGTGATATGCAGGAAACATACAGAAAACAAGTCAGACAGACACATTTTCTGGAGGATAAGTGGCCCCTTTAATGTCATTTTATTAGCACAATGTAAAAAGTTGTTACATGACGGAATGAATGGCGATGGATCAAAAACAACAGAAGTGGGCTACATATATGGATTATATTCTTGATTAAAGGCAAGAGAGAATATCAAAGGCATAGGTTTGATTTCAGCTTTGGTAGGGACACTATTGGTCTTCAGTTTCATTGGTCTAATGTCATTGGTCCTTTGCAAAAAGATGCATACTCTTTTTTTTAATGCTTAATGTGAGCATCAGGCTTTGATGTGTTTAAAGAGAACAGCATAATTTCTTCCTAGATTAATACAAATCTTATAAGCACTACACTCACTAGATGCTGTTTAGCAATGTTTGAAGCATCACTGGCTCTGTTCAATGTGCAATTAGGACTTTTTTCCACTTTGAAAATGTTTGCATTTAAACTTACCAGTAAGACAGAAGGTAAATACGTTCCTATTTAACCAAATATAGTCTAAATATGCCTGTTATATGTTGACGTATCGTGTTTTCTTTTGAAGATGTATAATTGTGCAGAGGTAAACAGGTGAAATCCACTCTTATTCTAGGCTAAAACAGGCGAAAGCTTCTGACTGCAGTTCTGTGAAGAAGCAGGAGATAGTTTGGATTTTTGGAACTTGAGAAATGAAAGTAACCAAAGTTAGGATTTCTTTTATAAAACAAAATATTCTGAGTCAGACAGGAGTTCTGAAAACTGCTGTTGAAATGAGCAGTCTGTAATCTATCAACATTTCTGATTCCCTTTCACCAATATTTCTTTTCTATTACTGTTTTCCTTTTTTTTGACGGCAGTTCAGGTGTATATAAAAGCTTTTAATTTATTTTGTAGAACATAACAACACGAGAAGGATGCTGACGTTCTTCAATTTTTTTGTTTTCCACATAAAAATAGTTCTATTTAATTGATTCTACTTCTAGAAATAGGATGAAGACAAACAGAGGAACTCTATTTACACTGATTCTATTTTTCTAGATTTCCACACAGTACATAAGTAAATTAATCTCTGGTAAATAATGCTTCAATCTGGCTGTTTATTTTGGATACTATTACATTACAGATAAGATAGTGTTATATTGTCTTTTATAATTGTTAAAAGTGATTTTATATTTGAATAAACTTTGGCTGATTCTTAGTGTTGTGTTTATAGATGATGCCACTAAAAAAGAAAATAGACATAAGGAGCTATTTAAACAGCAAGCAATATAGGATGATGATAAAAGGTTGTTACATTTAATCCTTTACTATTATAGACGCACTTGTATAATAGAAACATTATATGAATGTAGGAAACAGATATAATGATGCAGGGCAGCCTCAGGGGGAAGCAGCTGCCCTTCACTGCTGCATGATGGAAGAAATGTGTTTGGAACGTTACCATAAAATAAGGGTTGAAACTAATGATTATTCTGCAAATTGATTAATCTGTTGATTATTTTTTTTATGAATTGATTAATAATCAGATCACCCAAAGGTTCCTTAAAGTAGATTTTTTTACGAAATGACCCCAGGTGAAACAGAAACGTTTCCTCTGGAGGAGTTCTGGATGGAGAATATTGACAGACTAAAAATTTTTTTTTTGTCCTAAATGCAAAATATTTACATATTTTTTCATAATCTTGGTATAATTCCTGCTCTAAGTGGGTCGCTCTATTGGCTTAAAGGCACATTTTAGTGGCTCTATACTCCAGTTATTGATTAATCAATTACTAAATCAGTTGACGAATATTTAAATTATTGATAGATGTGATTAATTGTTTTAGCCATAGAACAAATTTATGAAATGGGCTACATAGACTAACTACAGCCCAGATGTACAACTTGTACAGTGAAGTTAATATTTCAAAATCCTCAGTGTCAGTTCCTCTTATAGTTCCAGTGCACATGTAAATACAATACATTTATTTGCCGTCCGTTGAATGTATTATTTTGCATGACACAGAGAGAGCATATTAGATAAAAAAATAAGAGTGGATTTCACCTGTTTACCTCTGCACAATTATACATCTTCAAAAGAAAACACGATACGTCAACATATAACAGGCATATTTAGACTATATTTGGTTAAATAGGAATGTATTTACCTTCTGTCTTACTGGTAAGTTTAAATGCAAACATTTTCAAAGTGGAAAAAAGTCCTAATTGCACATTGAACAGAGCCAGTGATGCTTCAAACATTGCTAAACAGCATCTAGTGAGTGTAGTGCTTATAAGATTTGTATTAATCTAGGAAGAAATTATGCTGTTCTCTTTAAACACATCAAAGCCTGATGCTCACATTAAGCATTAAAAAAAAGAGTATGCATCTTTTTGCAAAGGACCAATGACATTAGACCAATGAAACTGAAGACCAATAGTGTCCCTACCAAAGCTGAAATCAAACCTATGCCTTTGATATTCTCTCTTGCCTTTAATCAAGAATATAATCCATATATGTAGCCCACTTCTCTGTTGTTTTTGATCCATCGCCATTCATTCTGTCATGTAACAACTTTTTACATTGTGCTAATAAAATGACATTAAAGGGGCCACTTATCCTCCAGAAAATGTGTCTGTCTGACTTGTTTTCTGTATGTTTCCTGCATATCGCTAACCTTTTCCCAAGCTCATAATGCTTTCTGCAGCCACGGAACAACTGCTGTTAAAATTAAATGTAACATCTAAATAACGTAGTACCTGTTTTCTGGATACACCCCCAATAGAAGGTGCTGCACCCATACCTTGTCTCCTACTCCACAATGAAAATGTAATTACACTCTTGCACATTTGGATCTTGTTCTAGTACACATAAGTAAATGTACTGACTAGTGGTCAAAGGTAGTGGGAAATAGATAATAGTTCATAATAAATAAATAAGATGAAAGAATCCAGTATCCAGTTCTCTCTTGAAAAAGAGACACACCTTGCCTATATTGTTCCCCAGCTTTGGTGCAAACACCTGTTTGCTGCTCTGCCAGTAGCCTACCCGTTATATGGCGCCATCTGCAGACTGAAAGAACATTTATGTGACGTGGTTAATATATATATATATATATATATATATATATATATATATATATATATATATATATATATATATATATATATATATATATATATATATATATATATATATATATATATATATATATATATATATATATATATATATATATATATATATATATTATAATATATATATATTTATATGTATATGTAGGAGACAGAGAACATGAGCTATCGGGATTATCAAACCTCCACTGGCTCAACTAAGCAAGTTTTTTCTCATTGCACTAATAACACTTTTAATCAGAAATGTTCCTGTTAATTTAATTTTAACAG